GAAACCCCAGACTGCATAGACCCAGTAGCCAGCCCTAGAAAATACGAATCCCGCCACCGCCGGAGTCTTTGCTCACTTGTGAAGGAGGCACAGTCCGGGTTATTGTCGAAACATGATTGGCGCTGTATCATATGATATCTCGACCGATATTTTACAAGGTGGGGTATATTGACGGGAAAGTAAACAATGGTTAAGAAACACGAAAGGAATAAAAGAGATATCATACCTACTATAATAGTTATTCTCAATCAGCAGTTTCGGACAAACAAAGTCCAGGAGTTGGCGTCGTCAGCCATGGTAGAAATAGGGTTCGCTAGAGGTCCAAGTGTAACAGGCTGCAGGGTACCACACCTAACCGAACTACCTCCTACCTCTTGTTTGCTACCCCTCAGTCCTCGCCTCTACCCCACCGATAACATCCATTTTCCCATCCCTACAACCATCCTCCCCAGCCGGGCTCCCCTCGCTGCCCGATAACTCCTCTCCTCAGCTTAACTTTGCTATCCAGAGGCCAGGGGGTCGAGAGAAGAGATGTTTATGTTTTACGCCGTGCACAAAGTTTCCCCAATGAGCACCCACGAATCAAGGGCCCCCAGATCTACAATCTCTCTTGATTTTCCAAGAACTCGAATGGGAAGTCGGGAGCTCCCCTGCCTGCACCCTCTCCCCGGTTGGCCGACCCGAAAACCCCACGAACAGACACCCGGCACCGAGCACAAAAGCCCCTTCCCTGTTGAACAGACCAATTTTAGGCCCCAAGGGATGGAGCACCAACGAGCCAGCCTTGAGTTTCTGCTCTCAATGTTCGAGCGACCTTCCATATCGGGGATGGAGGGCCGCAGGGCAGTATGTCAACCGGTAATGTGGCGGGTGATGCGGCAAGTGAGGCAGCGTGAACTTGGACAAACAGTGGCTCGTTCTTTCCTGTATAACAGTCGGGCATATCCCCACCTCTTCTTTCAATACAATCAGCCAGTCGTTTCAACACTCAAAATAAAGGCTCTTCCGAGTGATGTCTTATGAGGGATAAGCTAAAACCTCCCAGTGACAGCAGGGCCAATATTTCCCCAGGCGATAGACACACAGCATGCTTCATTCCACACAAAAAAAAAGAAAAAAATACCGGTGCATCTCTCATCGCAGCCCTCTCTCTAGGCGGACCTGTACCGCCAAGCATTCCGATCCTGGGTGCCCCCGGATTTCCGGATAGATCAATCCGAAAGACTGGTCCTGCGGAATACCGGTGGGAGCTTATTGTACTCGAGTACTCTAGTACAGGTAGATTCCCTTGAGGCTGGAAAAGGGAGGCCAAAGCTCTCCAGGTCCTTTTCCCTTCCTAGAGCATGACAGGTCAACAGCGTTCACCAGGGGACCGTACTAAAAGCTTCGCTCCAAAGAACCTGTTATCTTATTAATTCTCAAGTTCGGCAGATTACCCACTATCTGTATTCGAGTACTAGCTCAAACAGAAAGTCTTGGAAAAGGGAAGGGGGGAAAAAAAGGGGCGATTCACAACCTTTTGCCTGGCGAGTTTCCCCCGCAATCTCCAAGAAACCTACAACATATCAGTACGGTAGGTAGCCTCAAAAAGAACCATATTTCCTTGCTGACCGTAACATTTTTTTTTGACACTCTTTAGCAATACCGGGGGTCTCCTAGGGCATCGCAAGGGCGCACACATATTTTGCTCGACAATAAATCGACCCCCAATCCCCGGACGCTCTCTCTATGGAGCAAGCGACCTTCGGACCGATCTCACCAGTATACCGTACCAGTTAGCCTCTCCTCTCCACAAACTGGTATAACTTGATCCGTTAGCTAATCTCGCAATCCATCACTCGGAAAAAGGGGTCGGATGTCACTTATCCATAACCAACGCTTCCTGATCCGATTTCTCCAAAATGGGTTATTGGTGATTCATCATACCGTAGCGGTATGTGGAATTGATTCGGCTGAGGGATCCTATCGGGACTCAATGTACCCGAGGACTTGTACGAGTACTGTCTGGCCGAAGTAAAGACTGCTGCGCGGTATCATACTTGAGTACCAGGCACTCGAGCTTGTTCTGGTGCGGTCGTCTGAGCACTCATTTCAGCGGGAGGAGTTGTGTTGCCTATGGTCGGGCTTACCGGATCTTACCTACAAGTGACTTCTCGTGCTGGCCCGGTGCACAAATTTATCGCCCCTTGGGGGGGTATCACACAAATTATCGTCAGCTTAACGCTTTCCCGTCCGAAGGTACAAGTATTTATGAAACGTATTATGATTATAACACCGTCTCCTTGTAAAGACAACTGCACCGGACCGTACTAAAGACAACTGCACCGGACCGTACTCGTTGCACTTGTACTTGAGTACTTGTACCGGTGCTAGCACTCTGGGGAGGTGCCTATCTGACTGCCCCTGGAATCAGGTCATGGTGATTTGCCAGGTAATAAGAAGCTTCATGGTTTGATTGTCGTGATACCGGTACCGGTATTGAGGCGAAAGAGGTCTGATACCTGCCGTATCACTGGCACTAGTGCCGCATTGATTTTGGGTCTGAGACATTATCTGAGACAGGCTTTAACTACTAGTACTTAGCAGTACGAGTACGAGTACAGTACAGTACGGTACCGTGGAATGACTAACTTGCCCTTGCTGGGAACATCATTCTTGGGCGTGGAGGTTAGGAGTTCCAAGATGATGCAATTTCCGGAAGCCATTACTGATTGGCTTAGGGACTACCAGGAACCAGGGACATCTGGGACACTCTCCCATTGGTGACTCCTAATCGGAAGACAGAACTCTTCGCTAACAACAAAGACATTGGTGCTCCTTTTATGTCTCGTTTACGAACGCGCTCTGACGGAGATGGTTCGTTGGCATCGTCCTGGTTCACCTTCATTCCCCAAACGGTCTCTAGCTTAGGTATCTACAGTTGCGCACCACCGTCCGGGGCGGCGAAAATCAGAATGTCCGACACAGCGGGCGACCCGCTGTCCCGGGCAACCGGTCAGGTTTGAGAGCAAAGGGACTCGGAGATCAGTGAGACTTGAATGAGAGCATCCGGATCCAGGAGAGCGGGGTTTAGCTGAAGAGCGTAGGGAGGGCGTTCACGGTACCGGCCGGCACGAGTAATTCCAATGGCGAACCTTAACTTCAGGAAACTGGCGGTATGGGGGAGAAAAGTTTTTTTCAATGATGCAAGGACAAGTATTGGTCTAACCCGAAAGCGGTTAGCGTAGTGCGAGATTGGACAAAAGAACTCATCACTTTTCCGCAGGGATCAATGTCTCTCATTGCACGTGCCCAACACGAACAGACATGGGGAAGCCCCCTGAATTTCCCGATGACCATGGACCCTTGTTTCTTTCTTTTTCTCGGGGATTTTGATTTCATTTCGTTCCTGTGGTGTTTTGCCACTGGTGTGTTCACTGTTCAGGTACGGTACTCGCACGAGCACCGTACCAGCATGTGGCTACGAAGGGGGAAGGTTTGCATTCGGTACGCACGGTATCCCAGACAACAAAAAAGCACCCCGTCTGTGTCGCAACTGTTATTATGATGTACAAGTAGGGGAGATTTAACACTGAATAAATGAGGCAGTACCGGTACTGGAGCGAGGTGCTCGAGTGCAGGGCTGCGTGAGCCCCGTATTTTAACAATACACGGTGTGCCGCGGAAGAACGAAGAACGAGGGCCAAAACCTATTCACAGGGTTCGGTCCCCCCTTAGGGGAAAGCCTAAAGGACAACTTTTATTGGGCAAGGTGAAGCGCGGGGAAGAGGCTGGGCGCAAAGCATCCGCATCGCGAAAGGGTTTGAGACTGAGGCTGGAGGTCTCTATCGCTCCACGCGCTTGTCCCACCGGACGAGATCTTTTTTCATATGGCACAAAGATTTGCGACGAAAAGGGGGGGCGTGCCTGTCAATCACCGGTCACCCCAACGGGGGATTCGCAAGGATTGCGACTGGGCGCAAAGGCTGCGAGTACTCGAGTACAGCATTCTACCGATACTCTAAGCTCGGATTTGGCAGTGGTATACCGGTACCAGCACCATATCATAGTCCGAACAATTCGCTTCAAACTCGTTGTAATAATAATACGCGAGAAACACACTAAAATGTCTTCAGCGGCACGGAATGATATGATAGGTACGAGTAGACCTATCGCGGAATGCTAGCGCGTAAAGCTGAATGCCAGTGGGGGGAGGAGGGGTGTTGGTGACTGGAATAATTTCTTCTCTTTCACCCAATTAGGTCAAGGGATGAGGCTCGTCTCATAATCCGCGGGGTTGCTTGAGCGAGTCGGAGCGGAAGCAACTTGTGCGAGTTACCGTACTCGAGTACCGTACGGTACCAGTACCGGTTTAGCAGTCTCTTGCCAGGTAAAGGGGAACGGGAGGGGGTTTGCTAAATGGCACGAGATTCCTGGTGAGAGTGGTTGAGTGCCGTTCTGAGGGTTCGTAAAGGCACTGGTACTCGAGTACATTTTTCTTTTCCCTGTCGTCTCTCACGCCGGGAGCAGGGTGGGTAAAGTATGTACCGGTAGAGGGTGAGTGAGTGCCGTACCGTACTCGTACAGCAGTGGTAAAGGGGGAATGGGCAATCTGAGCTTGCCGTTGCAGTGTTTGACAGCGCTCAAGTACCAGCGCGGTTCTAAGCCGCCACACACCAAATTTCCCAGGTATCGGTATCACACTCCAGTATCATACCAGGACGCTGTTCGTATAGCTTAGCCACCGACCCTAGCACACACAGTGGGTACTCGTACCGGTATGGTAATCTCAGCCTGATCAGTTGTGACCTTTTGTCAAAGGAGGACAGGGTGAGGGTGCTGAGGGGTGGGAGCCCCACTCCATCCATAAAACCGACTCTATCACCCCTTCTTTCCACTTCCACCCTTTCCTCATCGCATCTCTCTCCCGCAAAGCAACTCGTTCGAAATTTTTTCCTTTCGCCTTCGGGATCCGATCTTTGCCTTGCTCCAACTGCACCACATTCATTAAGATTTTTTTTCTTCTTCACCTACTATTTCAAAATGAAATACACTCTTTTCACCGTCTTGGCTGCGGCCTTTACATCTTTTGCGAATGCATACACCACTCCAGTTGGAGACCCAGAGGGAAACCCAATTGCCAAGCCCGGGCTCGGCGAGATTGTCCCAGTTGGCTCTCCTTACACCATCACTTGGAATGTTGGTTTTCAATATTTGAACACTTGAGAAAGTTTGTGCGTATACTGATCGCTTCGCAGCCCACCACCGAGGGAACCGTCACTCTCGTCCTCCTTCGTGGTCCTTCTACCAATGTTATTCCTCTCTACCCTATCGTTGAGAAGATTCCCAACACTGGTACCTACTCATGGACCCCGGCCACCGATCTTGAGGCCGATGTCTCCCGGTACGGGATCCAGTTGATTGACGACGCTACCGGAAAGTACCAGTACACTACTCAATTCGGCATATCCAACTCCAACCCCTCTGTACCTTCTTCGTCTTCGTCTTCGCCCTCCATCTCACCCGCTTCCGTCACACCTACTTATTCAAAGTCTTCCTCTTCCGTCTACGTTCCCTCAAGCAGCACTACTGCTACCAGCGGATACGTTACCAGCGGAACCATTATCTACTCCACCTCTATGCTCACTGTCACCTCGTGCGGAGCTGCAGTCACCAATTGCCCTGGCAAGCCATACACCACCCCGCCCGTCTGGATTAATCCCGCATCGAATACAACTGTTAGCAAGCCCGTCTACCCAACTGGTGGATACCCCACCGCTGTTCCATCCACCAACGTTACCAAACCGTCCGTCCCTGTCATTCCCGTGTCCCCGGGCGCTGGCGACAAGGTCCGTGTTGGTAGTGTCATGTTGGTTGTCATGGTTGCTGGATTCGGTACGTTTTCTTGATCCCCTTGTCTTTCATCCATCTCTTGTAGCTAACTTGAACGCATAAACAGCTCTACTCTTGTAAACCCTTTTTTTTTTCCAACCTTTAACGAACATTTTTTTTTTTCGAAGCGAGGGGAGGAAAAACATGAAAATCCCGGAGATATATTCCTTCTTTTTAAAGAAGAAACCCTTGCCACGTGGAACATGAACTATCTTTTGGCCCGCTGGGGACAGATTTGAACGCGAAAAATTTCCGGGCCTTTTTACATTCTTTTCTTCTTCGAAAACAACCTGTCAAATAAAGTTCTAAAGGGGATGGTCTTTCATTCCGTTCAATTTTACCTACATACCCTAATGGCTCTGCATTCTCTTGCTCTTTTGGCGATTTTCGTTGTACCGCTTTTACATTGCGGTTATTATATTTCTCTTTATATCTTTCGACCGGAGTCGCAGGTGGATATTATGGAGTCGCTTGAGTACCTGTGATCTGGATTAATGACGAAGCATCTTATTTTTTACATTCTGGATTACCTTCTTTGTACTATATATTTTTTTCCTCAGCGAGACATCTATAGTACACATAGCTAGAGCTATTATTATTGTCTATTTTACTCGTCCTAGGCAAAGAAGTATCTAAAATCAAGGATTTTCAATATATGGAAAAAATACCCGCGCATAGATGAGCACACAAGAAAACTCACAACTCGTGTTTCTGGATACTTCTCATCTGGGACGAAGCCGACCTTGGGGACTTTTGCGCAGACTGCAGCTCGCATTGCATTAGCCCTTGTTAAGGGGTCAAGCCAGCCAGACCAATAAATACCAATACCGGGACCACACAGTAAACGCTTCCGGATACGTTTAGTGTGACAAAAAATCCCCTCGGGGTTTTGGCGAGGATGTGTTTGTGTGCGACTGTGATGGATGTTCTGATTGGTCCAAAATTGCACCTATGAGTATTGGCGAAGGAGAAGGGGGGGGGGGGGTGGTATATATATGATGACTATTATTAAAAAGGAAATGCGATGCAGGTACCGTACCATACAATTGAGTTTGGGTTGGCCAACTGTAGACTACCGTGGCCCCCGCTGTTCTGCGGTACGGTACAGTAGTCTACTCGAGTACCGGTACAGTATTGTGTCATACATAACCCAACCTGGAGGCATGGCATGGAATGGAAATGATATGATACATTGTCTGGGTCAGCATCGTACAGGATTTGTAACTGACCCGTTACAACTGGTCGCACCGTACTGTACGAGTACACTACTTGTTCCTGTACCACCTTGTTTTATTCATTTATTCATGTATTTATTCACGTTTACAGTACTTCACTCATTCACTCGAGAGATTGATTCCCGAATGCGGCGATTTTCGCAAAAAGTATCCTTATGGGATCCACCATCTCCTATCGTCCATCCCCTCAGACACCCATCCTACAAACTTGTCTTGAATCGGTCTAGTTTTCTTGGCAGATTAACAGAATCGAGAAATCCGCTTACCGGGTAGGTTAGGTTTAGCCAGTTAGCGAGACCCCGACCACACCTAACTGTCTCCCAGACTATACCACATCTGGACAACCGCTACTGTAATCCTTATTCCCCTTTCTTCTTCGGGGAAAGGGGGGGGGGGTCGCTGAAGGAGATGAATGGTGAATTTTGCGAGATTTTTTTTTTTTGTTTGTTACGGGTACAGTACATACCCCAGTTGTTTAAATAAATAAATAAATAAATAAAATACCGTGGATTTGGTTTCGGGCATTAGATTATGTCGATATTGGATTGTGAGAATTGGTAATTTGTGGGTTTTTCCTGGTCCTCGTGCGATAACGGTGCGGTGCGGTACAAGTACAGTACAGTAACTTGGCACTTGTAGACTTACCGTACCTGGTTGCCAGGGCGCATTGCAAGGGAGGCAGGGAGGCAGGGAGGCAGGGAGGGAAGGAAGGAAGGGGATTGTGGCTATGTTAGTACTTGTATCATCCCAGCTCAGTTTCGAGAGTTTTGTAGTTATTTTTGGTGAGTCACGTTGGATGTAAATTTATGTATTGCACCGTAGTGGTTATTTTATTTCAACTTATTTCGTTGTGGTATTACTCTTACTGTATTGTAGTCTACTGTGCTCATTACATATGATACCTTATTTAATATTTGCTGTTGGTCTTTTTTTTTTGTTCGCTTGTTCGCTTGTTTGCTTGTTTGCTCTCTCTTTGCTTCGGTGATTGGGCGCCCTTACCGATACGGTATATGTATTTAACTTCGAGGCATGATGCTGCGTTATTATGCCTTCGCTGAGCTCGCACGAGTTCTTGTACTCCCGTGTCGCGTGATAGTGTTGTGCAGAGTTTTGCCGAAGGGGGTGGGTGGGTGGGGTCCCGTATCCGGTACATACATTTACGGTACTCTGCTGACCGGTTGTTCCTGGTAGTGCTTTTGCGGGTGTTGCTTGTGGTTGCACTGGTATGTGAATTTACCATGCTTGTTTGCCTGCCCCTGAAGCTTGTTTTGTCGCGTGGGGTGGCGATGTAGTACGGTACAGGTACAAGCACTTGAGTATGGTACATAGTCGGTGGACATGGTGAGGTATGATTAGGCTGGAGTTTGGAGAATTGGTGGGGGGGGGGGGTGGTCGAGTTGGGTGCCACAGAGTGGGAGATGCGGATTGTAGAGTTGGGCGTGGTGGAAAGCCTAAGAGGGAATAAAGGAGGTACCGTATTATATTGGAAGGGAAGTAAGGAAATGTGTATGGTGAGATAAAGCTTTCGATGCTAGCGCTGTCTGGTCCGTGTCGGTGCGGATGTTTCTACCGGAGTAGGGATTGTGTGGAAAGTATCATACCAGCATAACCCGTGACCTGCTATGGTTCTTAGTGCAGCACCCTTCATTGGGATTCTTCAAAGGATCGGGGGGAAGGAGAGACAGATTGGTGGGTATACGCGCCGCTGGCTAGTGTGAGTAGGGCTGTCTTTGGCGCCTGTATTTGAGCTGAAATTAAGCAATTTGAGCGCTCTATCCTCATTCTCTATTGATGCACTTTGCACTGCTTGTGCTATTCTACCCCTCTTGCCCAACATTCAACATGTTTGGGGCGGCGGGTGATGCTTAGTGACTCCACTCTACATTGATCGATAAAATCTGGAATGGTCGGGCCTCACGCTACAACGTCCATCGCGAAGTGGATTGTTCTATGATAATTTAACGTATCACCCACAAGAGGGAGAATCCCGACATAAAAGTATGCGGATTTGGGTTCTGTTAGGTGGGTTTCTGCTTTATTTTTGGCATAGACCTTAGCGCATTCACCGATTTAATTTTTTTGAGCGCTGGTGAGGGGAGGGCAGGTATCTGATCAAATGTTGAGAGTTAAATTGGGTATGTATGACGGCGGAGATGTACTCAAGTAGTTGATTCGGCAATCTGATAATATTATGACAGAAGTGCGCAGAGATGGAGGGGTGGAGTACGGTAGGAATGAATGGGGATGGATAGACCTACCAAAGATCGATTTTGGGACAATCCTCCGGGTAAATTATCATAGTTAGGGTCTGGTGTGGGACGATAGCCTTCGGCTGCAGCCACAGAGCTTCTTACCTGGTCCTCGGGATTAGAGCGCTTAATGGGATGCCATAACCAGTCTCCGCATTAGCTCAGTTTTATCTTCTTATCATAATATATCAGTGTTCTCCATATAATGGGTGGAGAGAGTAGATTTTCTTTCATTGAGAAGTACGGTATATAAATAGAACTTCATTGTGAGGTACATCACTGGCTTGGCTAATACTATCCATTGGATTCATAAGGAAAGCTCAGGGAAAGGCTTCCAGACGGTGGAGAGATAAGCCTGAATCACTCGATACTTGTTAGTAATATTTGAAACTGCGATATCTTCACTGATCAGATGAAGAAGGTGAGGAAACAAAGGCTTTTTGGAAAGGCGCTGTTTGGCCCGGAAACCACCCAATCCATTTTCCTGCCGGTGGTTGTTCTGCTCATCATAGCAGATGCAAAATGGGCCTTAGCCGGGGGGTGCACACGGGTCTGCGGATCCCCTTTCGCAGTGTATTGTTGCGTTTGGGAAATCAGGCCTATGAACCATATTTATCGGACCGCTTGGGTTAGGATTGGAACTAGAGGGTGATGCGGAGCCACACGAAGTCTGTTAATGAAGGGCGGTTCCTCAGAAGGGGAGTTTTGTATTCTCGTGAGAGGGCATAGTAGAATAATAAGTAGGAACAACAACTGAGCTATACTTGGCATCAAGAGCCTGTAAATATATCGGCTATGCATTAGCTATGCAGTAGGGACTCCAAGAGGCCAGTGATAGAAGGGATAGAAGTACTGTGATCTGAGTTCTGGTTCAAGGTTCGATAATAAGTTATGGAAGAGTAGTTGGAGATTGGTTAGTTGAATATCCCTCCTACTGTGCTTGTTAATTGTCCCGGCCCTTGCACCTCACATGATCCACCTTTGTCCAGATATGGTAGGTTAATAGGTAAAGGTAACCTGCCAACAGCTATAGGGGAAAATATACCTGGCTTATCGTATGTGTAAATATACCTACAGAGTACGTCCGGACAATTTTTCTTTTTCTTTTATAAACTAACACCACATGTTATTGGAGGATAGGCAGAGATGGTCGGGTCTTTTCAGTGATGTCATGAGTAATCACTCGGCTTAGGTATGATACTGCATTCGAATAGTAGGTTACCATAGCCAACAATGTGACACGACATAGCACCTCGCTAACTTACGGTAAATTTATCCAACACTGCCGGTCGAGTCAGTATTATATAAAGGGAACTTTATATCTGAATGGAGAGGTATCACAAGAGGGGGAATAGTCCACACATGACTTGTAGAAGTGGTGAAGAAAGTACAATTTAGGTTTTTTAATGGGAGGTTGACCCCCGGCATTGGCAGTAAGAACGTCGTGGGCCTATCTTGGATCCTTCTTGGCACCCCTCTCCTGTTCACGGCCATCCTCGTATGCTATTAAAAAAAAACATCTATAATATAAGCTCAATGTCTAGCACCCTCAAATATCCAGTGCCGACCATTTAAACTCGGCTTGTAATAAGGAATCTGAATCAGCCCTTTCCGCAGCATGGGCTCCTGTAGCAACACGCCATTACCCGACATCAAAATTTACTATGCAGAATTGTATTTTCCGGTATCGCACCGTCCAGCTGCACTTAGGTTAAGCAAAATAGGAGAGGAGAGGGAGTTAATATTTAATTGAGCTTGCGGGGTTTGAATTAATTAGACTAATGTAGTTCCCGTGCTTTATCCGCTTATGCCTATACCGATAGTTTATCCGTTGAACAATCTATGCCGAAGTCGGGCCGATACCGGTAGCAACACTCCGTATTGGTGCCGCATCTCGTGAAATACAGGGTGACATTTTTCGCTACCTCTGGTTTTCACGTACCGCGCTTGGGTTCTAAGAGGGCCTGTCACCTACCACCCGCCGGCTGAAATCCTGTGATGGGGACAATCCATGACCGGAGCTCTGGGTCAGGTTAAAAAATAATAAAAATTCTGCGCAAATTCTATAGAACCCTCGAGAAGAGTTAAAAAGCGAATCGTGCTTGGGTAGGGGAGGAGGCTTATTTTTATTTTTATTATTTTTTACTGGGCCTTCTTGACTGGAAAAGACCAGACTTCAATAGCAGGGTTCTGCGGCGTTCTTTCTTACGCAGTAAATCGGGCTATATAGTACTTCCATCTCAGTAGGCGGCAACCCAATGCATAAGTAAAAAAAAAAACCCCCACCGTTAGAGAGGTGTCTTCAATAGGAGAGAACTCGAAGACCGAGGGAAGTCCCGGAGTTTTCCTGGAAGGTATTTTCCTGCTTCCCAGATAGATAGCCGATATTCCCCTATACCAAGACTGTAGATATGATAACCCCTTGGAGCACTGTTTTTTAAGCCCAAGAACACCAACCGGTACCCGACAGATGTGTAGAAATGCTGCGCTATTGAATCTGCACCGGTTTCCATGTTATAATACAGCGGCCTTGAGGAAGCAGACCTGGAGGGTCGAATAGGGCAATCCATCAAACCGGAGCCCTATATTTGTTCAAGTTGTCTAGGAAAAGGAAGGAAAGGTGAATATCAGGGCACCCACCTTGAAAACCGTTAGACCTACCCTCGAGAGTTTTCAAATTCCCAATCGCGCCGGGCGACATGCCCCACCCTCTCGTCCCTTTGAATCTTCCTCATAGTATTTAGCTGCCTCAATGCAAGCCTTCTCCACCTTCCTTCCTTCCTAGCAGGGAGTTCCGTTTTCCGTACTTCCTTCCATCAACACTCTGCACAGAAAACCTGCTGCATCAGATATCTCCTTCTTTTCTGTACAGCTTGTTTTTCTTTCCATCGATTAATTAAAATATAGTTGGATTATTACCCTTTTTCTTCCTTGAATATATGTACTGCTGGAGATGTCGCAGAAAAGAAAACTCATTGAAGAGAGCGATAGCGGCGGAGAAGGCGAGATGATGGATTATGATGAGAATAATAACGGTCTACTTCTTTTTAAATTTTCCTGGTAGTGTTTAGTTTGCTGACATATAGTAGGCCTTGTTGCCCCCTCCAAGAGAAGGATATTCAGCGTCCCTAATGAATCCAGTTCCACTTGGTTCGAAGAAATGTTCCTGGGAGGAGATGGTGAAGAAACAAGAAGTGGCCGCGAGTGTAACTGGGGAAGTGGGGTCTCGGGGACATCCCTAGCTATCCCGGAAGCACTGGAACGGGGAGGTGAGGTTGGAGGCTTGACTTATTATACTGAAAGTATATTTCTCCCCAACCCAAGCTCAAACCCTTTCCAAAGTTTCCCATTTGCCAACGGCTCACGGTTGATATAGGTTTTGGAACAAGAGACAAGAGGCGGAGAGACGTTGACCTTGACGAACTCCTCTGCTCACCCCCCTCAAAGAAGCTTGACCAATTGGGTCTCGAAACGGACGACTCCGGATCCGAAACTGGATCCGATGAAGTCTCTGAAAATATATGCAATTTTTCCAATCCGTTCGCTCAGCCTGTGAGAAAGATCTACTTATCACCCGATCGCTATGCTGAGTACATTGCCAAGATCGAAAAAGAGGAGCAGCACAAGAAACGCATTGAAGCTGCGAAGAAGCACAAGCCGTGGGAACTGAGAACAAGGAGCGAAAGGGGGCCGCGCGCAGGACGCTCTGACGAGTTCGCCACCGAGGAAGAAGCTCAATACGCGGAAAATATCATGCGGGCGGCAGCGCGCCACAGACTTGAAACATGGCATCGCGAAAGGCACGAGATGTGGGGCCTTAAGCCGATCCAAGATCCGGTCCAGGATTCAGAAGAGGATTCAGAAGAGGAGGAAGACGAGGAGGAAGACGAGGAAGACGAGGGCATGCAAACCGACGAGAAATCTGACTGTGGGTCCCCCCCATCGGATTTAGAGACTCTCCTCGACGCCCCCTCCATCTGCCAGGAAGACATGAAAGACGAGGCAACAATCGAGGAAGTACTAGAAGGGCTACCGGGCCGGTTGGACCCTTGCTTCAACAACCCAGCCGACACCATCTTCCTCCCCCGCATTCCCAAATTCACTGAGGTGGCCTTCTCGCTGGAATTCCGTCTGGGGTACACTAGGAAACAGGTGCGTTGGCTCATGGGGGGCGCACGCTCCGGTCGTGGAGAAGTCCCATCGTCCAACACTCTCGCAATGCGCATAAAACGTTACATGGACAGAAACGGCCTCGCGGATACTATCAAGTTGGCACCGGCCACGGCGGCTGCCAAGGAATCGAACACATCTCGTTCGACGGGAAAGCCCTCCCCCAACTCCGACAGCGACGACGACGACGACAGCGGGGGAAGGTCCTACGATCGTGTAGGGGAGCCGCGCCCCTTGCTACCCCATGGACCCCGAATACCGCGTCCGGAGCTTGGTGTGCATGGGTGGGTCTGGGATCATCCGCACGAAGAAGTGCAAAACCTCCGGAAGAACCCCTACTACTACTACTAATGTTATCGATAAAAAAACATTTCTCCCCCTCACCCTACGGCTATTTTATTTTTTTCCTTCCCCCTCCCCAAAAAAAAAACATATCCCCTCTCTCACCCGGAACCGGAAAAACTCCCCTATGGCAAACTCACCGAAATCTCACCAAACATCTATCTAAACCCCTCCAGGTAAGAAAGCGCACACCCCAATCAAACTTACAAAAAAAGTCTCAAACTGATAACGGATAGATCACAGTGAAGTCACTGGTGGAGGACATGTGGTCGCCATACGCCGTACCCATTTTTTTTCTTTTTTCTTGTTTTTATACTTCTTTTTAAAATACGCCTTATGTATGTATCAAGTTTTAATTGGTGCGCACCCTCCCAAAACCATATATATACGGGAAGGCAGTACATAATAACCAAATAAAATCTCCACTCTTCAAATTTATATACTTCTAGCTAGATAGATAGTAGAGGGAGGGAAGGGGAGAGCAGCCGGGGGAGAACCATAATAATAACGCCGAGGAGCGCTAACTTACATCTTGGAGGAATGGATGAACGCCAGCGGCGATTGAGGATACTATTTGGTCATCCCATGACGATGTCGGACATGGTGAGAGGGGGGGGATATCCAAATTAACTAGGTATGTTGAGGTTCCCTCAGAGCTTTCCTGAGTGCGTGTTAGACCCTTTCTTTTATATTCAGGTATGATGTGGTATGGCGGCGGACGCGTAAAACGTGGACCAGTGGAGATTCAAAATGTAATGCCTGATATGATCAGGGTATAGGGTACTTGCTAACAAATTTCAAGGCACGAGGTTACATGTTCAACTCTAATTACCATTTCTCATTGTAAGTTTATTCTCCTTTGATTTTTCTTATAATTGAAACTTAGTAAGAGAAAGTGTATTGTTTACTAGCAGCAGTATTCTTTTATAATATTTACATCATAATTATGGTTATGGAAGAAAAATGTTTCCAACAATAAACAACCTCAACAGGAATGGGAGTTGAACATGCGACTTAGGAAATTCAAATTTGTAATTAAGTACCCTATGCCCTGCTTATATGGGCATTACATTTTGAATCTCTACTGGTCCACGTTTTGGGCGTCCGGCACCATACTTCAATCTTCTCCATCGAAATCCAATCACCACATATCACTCAGATAGATTCAGGCCGTGATGAAGTGAAGTGGAGAGGAGGATCTAGTTAGGTATCTTTCGTAAAGAGTTTCTGATCGTTTTAGTGAGTGAGAATTGTTAACCGTTAATTGGCTCGATTGACCCTCATCCTATCACCAAAGTGGATGACAACTATATATAGTACTGTAGAAGACCGCAACCGACCAGATATCCATCTGGTGGCTACATTCCTTCCAATTCACACCCCTCCTCACTCCATTCTAAACCACTTCTCGTAATACCTTGCATGAGTCCATGCCATTCCTTCACACTGCTCCTAGCATAATTCTAGACCACTCCTCGCAGGAGGCTATCCGCAAGCCCCTAACATCTCCTGCCATATCACAACACTCGATGTTAGAAGAGCAACCGTGCGAGTTGAGAGAAAGAGCAGAGTGAAGAAGGAAAGGGCTTGTATGGTAGATGGGCTATGATTAGTAGTTCTGAGGCCAGGGGATTGAAGTTTTTCTTGTGCAGTTTTCGATATCTGTTTCCCACATTGCAGTTCCCCTACCCCATGAAGGCGATATTCTATGCTGAACATGCTTCCGTCACATTGGAGCACACTGACTTGCCGGAAATTTAATAGGCACCGTTATTCGGGCCGAAATATGAAAAAAAAAACAAAAAACACATTTTGATCTCATGCCTAAGAAGGGGGGGTTACAGGCTAGCACACAGTTTAAGTTTTTAAATAAATAATTAGCACCCGACACTGTAATTAAGAATATCGTGAATCCAACTTGTCCCCTCCATAGAAGCCCACTCCCACATAAATACAATCGCTCCCATGTGACACTAAAGTTTTCATCTCGAACTCTTTTTTTTTTGTCTGACCATCCTCCAATCTCAGCAGGCTGGCAGCCAAAAGAATCCACTTGTGATATGGAAACCCAGTCTTTCAGTACTTTCCGCAACAGGGACTTCCATAGCAAACTACGTCATTGCCTAGCATCAAATATTGTAGTGCGAGATGCTGTTTCTCCCGTATTGTGTCTTTCAGCTGTAATTTATCGCGGGGTTTTAGTCTACAATACGCTAAGATACGGCACTGTTCCAACACTAATCTCTCAGGACATGGCAAATCTTTCCCTGGCTGGAGTGGTCATACACCTTCGTAGCGCGCAACCCGAGCACCGGACAGATCAGCCAGAGAAGACAAAAATTGTGGTGAGCAAAACTCGCGTGCACCCAAGGATATCCCATAGTCAGGGAGCTTGAGCGAACGGCCCGCGCGCCAGGTGACCAAATACGCCACGCGAGGGGCCCACACCTAAGACCACGCCAGAGCTCAGCAGCACACCAAGCTTTCCAAAGCCGAAAATTTGGCATCATATCACCCCCACCAAATAGATCTTAATCTCACCCCAAAACGCCCCCTACTGTTATTATTTTCCTCAAATAGAACCCCAAAATCCCCACCGCCCACTTCCCTTCCCTTCCCTCAGCCAAGGTCAGACCGCCAAGCCAGCACATCACACCTACACCCAGGAAAGAGCGCCAACCCGAACAACCAACCAACCGAGCTGTGCGTTTCGCCCACCCGGTATCGACATGTGTTGGAAATGTCCAAGAAATGATTGGGAGGTCGATGACGGAGATTGCTGGCTTTAGGGAATGGGATGCGAGAGAGTGATAGAAAAGGGATAGCCGGAAGCGATGGATATAGAGTGGAGTCAGGAGATCTGGGAGCGAGGCATACAAGCGGGCGAGTGAGCCAGCGGACCGAGTAGTTTGTGCTGTGCCTGAAGAGTGATTGAGAAGCTTCACGTGTATGATTGTGAAACAGGAAGAACAAATTTAAAAGAAACCAGCAACGTTAAATACCTGAATATGTAAGCATTTATCTATGCCTGCAATAGTCCATGGCTCTAGTGCGTAATTATCTGGATCATACATATTCAACAATATGAAGTGTAATTACTCGAGTGATATCCTGTGACTGATGTCAAGTTGGGAGTTTTGTTCTGTCACTAACTTTCTGACTGTGATATGGCACTGTGCCGTACTTTCTCTGCAGCAGTTGGTGTAAAGGCCGTGTATCCATTCCCACTATCTCTAAATTACACGACAACCCCCTAGAGAAAAACAAAATGAAAACACCTTCACATTATATACCGAGTAATCCAACTTTTCTTTTTTAAAAAGAAAGGGGAAAGGAAAAAGCCACATCAACACAATCGCACCCCTTCATTCCACAATCTACTGTACAGCCGCATACCCACTTACCGTTCCGGATACCAATCCCTATACAGTTCATGCGCCTTACACTTCAAGCGATTTCTCTTATTATGCCCGTACTCGCCGCAGGCAGAGCACGTACAATTCGCATACTCGACCCCCTGGAGGTCGGCATCACGGCGCGCCTCGTACTTCAACTTCTTGAGTTCGTGCATGAGGCCTGATTCGCGCACAGAGAGTTTGTGCTGCTGAAGGTTGATGTGGGAGAGTTGCTTCTCAATCTCGCGACGGCGGGAGGACGCATCCATGGATTCAACGGACCGGGCGGGGCTGGACGAGAGATCGGTTGACGGGCTGCGATTCCGCTTGCGCTTCTTGGTCTTGGGATCGGAGGAAGAGGTGCTTGCCGACGGCTTCGAACGGCGCGAGGTGGAGCGGCCGCTGGCGACGGGGGTCTCTGCTACGCCCTCCGTGAGCTCAGGGACCGAGGATTGGTAGCTTCTACGCTTCTCACGGGTTCGTTTCGTCAGTGGGTCAGAAGAATCCATGTCCACATCGGAGCATTCCCGGACCTCTCCCATCTCTTTAGTCTTCTTCTTCTTCCCCTTCCTCTTCACCTTTGATAGGGCAGGGCTTTCGTAGCCGGAGGCGGACTCTACTTGCTCGGAAATTTTCTTAGACCCCGACTTCTCTCTTGGCTTTGATGGACCTGGTTCGTCCCAATCGCTCTGAAATTCCATCCTCCTGTCCGAGTGGGCAATCTCTTTCCCCTTTCCCTTTTTCCCACTCTTACGCTCTCTCCGTTGGACCATCAGCTGTTCATTCCCGCTCTCTAGAGCCATGCAATTGTCAGAGAGTACTTTTTCCTTTCGCTTTGATTTCTTCCGTTTCCGCGTTGACCTCTCACCCACGACCACACGCAACCCCAATCCAGATTGACCATCATCGCCGCTAGAATCGACTATCGGAACGTTCCTCTTCTCTTTCCCCGGATTCCTCAGTTTTTCTGGCTTTCCCTCCTCCCCATCATCAACCAGGGTGAGATCGACAATCTCCGCTGGCGCAGACTCTGTGGCTTCGGAACCGCTATCGTCCGTATACTGCATTTGACTAAAAGCCTGCGTCACTGACTCGCCCACTGAGCCGGCAGGTGCCGAGGATAGTGACGGCGATGATATTGCCCGATCATTATACGATCGGTGAAGAAACGACCACGACGAAGACGCCGAATCCGAGGAGGATCTTTTAATATATGGTTCTGATAGAGATATCCCATTGCCTTCTCCATCCACTTGCTCCGGAGGAGCATCGCCCCCCTGGTCCTCAAACGCCTCCATTCCTACCTCGTCACTATCCCTAAGCCCTTCCCCGCCGCCGAGTTGACCCACTAAGGTATTTTCCCCTCCACTGGGGAACAGCCGTGAGCCCCGCTGGCGCTGGCCAAATATTAGCGGACGCATAGTCATAGCGGTCGGTTGAGTACTGAAAAATGGGAATCTCCGAACCTTCAGCTTCGGATCAGAGAAAACAGACACTCCGGAAGCGCCGCCAGGGCCGGGGGGCGGATGTCCTGGTGATGAGTGTTCCGACTTTGTTACGCCTACTAGCAACACTCTCTTACTGCCCGGACCCTTGGTGTTTGCGGAGCCATGTGGCTTAGATTCCATATTCACCCCTTTCCCCAACGGCATGTCATCAACTCCTGGCCAAGCTGGTTGGTTAGACGCACCACCAGTAGAGGCCCTCCTGGATGGCCCCGGTTTACTGAGTGCGCCCGAGTGAAGGGCATTGCCCCTCTGTCTCCCGTTCTCCCGAATACCCGAAGACTCGCCGGCCGTATCCCAACGGCGGGGCCGCAATTCCCGTCCTATTCCACGAACAACTCGCGACGCAGGCGGTACACTTCCCCCCAAAAACGCCTCGACCTCCAATTTATCAAGTGGATCTTTCAAGACAATCCCGACATCCATTATCCCCCCAGAATCCGCCACATCTCGCCGAAACACCTCCTCCATAAACCTCAAAAAATGGCCCGCATTAGGATGAGGCCCCAGCTCTCCCGCAGCTTGGCCTGCATGACGTATCCTCAAAGCAATATCACGATGAGTGGCAGTAGATAACTCCCGGCTATCGCAAAGAGTTATTTGAGGTCTCTTGCCAAGATTGAAAGTCAGCTCATAGTATGCTGGCGATTCCACGGCCAAAGAAAGAGGAAGGGGCGGAGTAGCAATTATGGACACTGTTCTAGTTCCGCTTTTTAAAGTGCGAAGGCACATATAGCAAGACAGCGAGTGATCATAACCCACAAACTCGGAAGCGTGCTGGTCCTGCAATACGGAAAATTGAAGCAATTCGCCATCAACACTAGTACCTTGCAGACGGCGAACAGCCATCTCCGCCTCTTCTGGGTTCCGGAAGGCAGCGATCATCATGTGCGGTCGTCGCACCAAAGCCCCATGCAGCTGGTACCCTTGAAGTAATTGGCGAATGCGGGCACTTGATGTTTCCGGGCTTATATTCATTATGTAGCTAGACATCATCAGCAGCAGCAGCGGGCCAAGGCGGAGAATAGGGTATATCCTCTCACACAATGGTGTTTGGTGTTTTCCACGATAGCCGGACAGGGGGATTTCCAAGCTTTCTCTCCGGCAGCATCTTATATGCTCTCCCAGCCTCTTCCGGCTTCTCAAAAAGAACAGGAACGTGGACACCTTCTGGCTGCCACCCGTGCCCTAGATACTTGAATCCCGTCAAGAATTCCTCGAGCTGACTTTGAGTCAAATCGCACGGCAAGTTCGAGATGTATCTATACATCACGGCAGTCAGCGCAAAAATTAAAAAAATTAAAAACACCGAAGTGAAAGGGGTGCGGGGCGGTACAGTGTCCGACGAGCCACTGCTTCAATCCCTTCCCTAATCTGTCGATAATCCGGATGCTCCCAATACCTCATAGCAAAATACAAGTCCCTCCTGGGGATTATGGCCAGAAGGGGGATGTAGCGAGCTTCGGTGCAACGATCCCTCGTCGGCCTCATCGATCCCCAGTCACCACCGCCCGCAGCGGCGCCCGCAACCTGTTGATACATCTTCCAAAGTCAGAAAAACACCCGGCCCAATGACGAAGATGGATCGAGAGGGCGAGGATGGGAAAGGGCGGGGCTAAATGGGCACCTTTCCACGTAATATCAAAGTTCTCGATTCCCACGTTGTGTGGGTGGTCGGCCAAGGGATTCTGCGAGCTAGGAAAATTCCAAGAGCGGAGGGGTAAAGTTTGACGTTCAGACAAGGTTTGATCCTCAAATCTTGGCAAACCCACCAGCCTCATCACCTGATATTTCCTATTGCAGTCTCGCCTGCGGGCTTAACCATTGTAAAGAGGCGAGAGTACCTGTACGCGTACAGGTACGCGTACCCGAACCCGAACCCGTAGAATACTGGTGTCAAGCTAAGAGTAAACGTGGCAGGAGACGCTAGATTTATCCGACCCCGCATCCTGTGCCGCAACCTAACAACACTCCTTCCCGCTCCTTCCCGCACGGCTGCTTGTACTGTATCCTTCGCTACGAGCGCGTTCCCTTCCTCCCCGGGTCGATCCGGCCAAGGTGGTCGGGGACGCAGGTACTGTGCGTACTCGAATGTGCACACAATCTTACCGTACCGGTACCGCACACGCGTACACACCCCGTGCCCATGCTCTGCCATATCCTCCTCCTCACCTTCTCTCCCATCACATCTTGGAAAAATGTGCAAGTGGCCTACGTAATCCAGCAGAGAGCCCTTCTCTTGGCGCAGCCCCCGGCCCATCACAGCGGCAACCAGGATTCCCGATAAGAATGCCCGTAGCGATGGAGAAGAGAAAAAAAAGAAAGGAGAGCATATCTGGCATCACCTGCCATCGCACACAAAGTTCCCATCGCACAGTAGCGAGCGGGAAAAATGCATGCATACGTCTGTTTGTATCACCCGCCGCGTGTCCTACTCTACCACAGGGCAACACTCGAGCATGATGATACCTTTCCAGATTAACCCACCCATTTGCCGGGGCCATAAATTCTCGTACAGTACAGTAAAGTAAAGTTGGCCCTTTTGTTCTAGTCTGCGTGAAGGGTTTACATCATCGCCTTCATCATCGCTATCATCATCCTCACCATCACCATCCTCTCCTCCTCCTTATTGTCCTATGCAGCCTCGGCATCCATTGTTTCATCTCGGGACGGTAAGTGGCACACCGACTCTTCAAGCCAGAAGTGCGAGTCCGGTCCAGTCCGGTCCGTCTACGTAACCCTGTGATCCAGTCACGAACCAAAAAAAAAAAAAAAACTCCCCTTGAACAGATTGGTCAAACCCTTTTTTATTTCCTCTTATTTATTTTTTTCCTTCCCTCCTAGTCATCAGTAATGCACTTGGCGGACGGGGAAGCCCACTTTGTGCCCTATGTGAAAACCATCCGTAGCAAGTCCACCGGCATAATTCAAGCCTGCCAAATTGCACCCCCCCCCCACCATCGGTTACGGTTACGTGGGCCGTTGCAACCACTGGGCGAAGCACGGGTCGTTCGTTCTAGCCGCCGAGGCGAGAGTTTGTTGGTTCGACCGATATCCCCGGTCCAAAAGTCGGCGTGGATAGGACCCCTCCCCCCCCAAAAGGCATATTTCGCGTTGCACACCTATCAGATTTGACAAGCCAGAGACAAAACTGCCACCTGTCCGTGCTGTAAGAGGGATCGCCTAAACATCCGAGGTTGCAACACCGGTGGTCACTCGCAATCTTCAGCTGAGAGGAGGAAGGCTGTGATTACCATAGGCTCTCGAATTAGAATGAGAATGGTGTGGCTTTAACGCTACCCTATCCCATCCCACTGAGGAGCCGCTGGGGCCATGAACACGATAATCACACATCATCACATTATCCTCAGCATAGCCACGCTGAGGTCACAATTTATCACTCGGATTCTGGCAACGAGCTGGGCGGTCCAATCTGCGTCTCCGCAGGGAAAGGAGGGGGTGCGGATATACGCTAATTAGGATCTACATGTTCTTGCCTTGCGCAGCGCCGCTCGAGGTGTGCGCTGCTCTATACATGGACGCTCTCTCCTGATGCTATGTATACTTCGTATCAAAATGGTAAAAAAAAGATATATTCACCCCGCCCTGCATGGAACAGACGCAATCAAGATGACTGGATGGATTTTCCGGAGAAGTCAAGTTTTACCATCTTCCAGCTCGTGACGGGACCAAAGACCAGGTCCAAAATAGCGCCCATGCCTATTTATTTTTTATTCCCGCAACCGTATTTACTAGTGTAATCCGCTATTTCCGGCAGACCTCTAATCTCCGGATTCTAGGTCAACACGGCATTTGCGAAGGGTAGCGGTTGCACCGACCATAATAGAAGCACAATAAAACACTCAAGGTCGCGATACCGGAGAAATCTTCAGCAGGTGCGAACAAAACCTAAAAAACATAAAAAAAAATGAAATAAAAATTGCCCTATTGCATGGTAGCTATCACCCCGATCAATAGGGCACAGCATGGACCATTAGAAATCCGTCCCTCCTTTCGTTTCAGCAGGAACTGTGACCACTCCAGGATGCTACGGTGCTATGGTTGTGCACAAGCACCACCACCACGGCAATCGGCTTCCCGAACCCCCAGTACTTGTATGATACAGTGCGCTGCGCCCTAGGCAGACCAGTGTCGATCGGAACCCCCCCATCCGCACCGGTGAACGAGTACAGTAAACACACCCGCGTCACAACCAAACAGCGGCAAAAAAAAAAAAAAAAAACTAACACTCGTAGCGACCGTATCATATCATATCTCGAAAGCACAGCGCAGTGCGAAAATGCCACTCCCCTTCAGCAGACGGGTAAAGGTAAGACATCCCTTATCACACGACATCATCCCAATCACACGAAAGAAGAAGAAAACAAAAAGAAAAATCCCCCGCGCAGAGCCCCATACCGCACCGCGGCTCAACGGTTATCGATACCTCAGGCCGAGCCCTGCCAATTGACTCTTCTCGGGCGCGGGCGTATCCGCATATTCGTCCACCTTCTCGCATCGCGTTACTCGATTTGGCTTATTACTCACCGTCAAAGTTACCTGTTGATCGGATTAGTCTATCGCACAGCGCCATAGATTCACCATTTCACTTCCCCGCCGTTGGGGGACGGCGGAGGGGCTTAGCGAGTGAGGCGCTTACGGTAGGCTGCGGTGGTGTAGTACCGGTGTTGTGGTGCAAAAGGTCGGGTGGATGGCCGTGGTAAGCGGT